GCTACATTATTGAGCTTAAAACTACAAATTTAAATTACAAAAGAATATAAAAAAATCACAAACTCTTTCAGTTCAAAGTCCTAAGTCTAATTCATGTAAAGACTTTGCACTTGCCACTCAGTAACTCTTAACCCTAACAATTGTGGATCAACTTCTTTCCTAAAAAATATACCTATTTTGAGTTAATTTTTCAATATAATGATTAATATAAACAGATATATATTATGCAGCATGACTTAAGCTACTATATACGAAAAAAAAAGTCACGTATATCCCATGCAGTTTTTTCCAGAAGCAAACTTTTCTGACGCTTATAGAAAAGTACTATTGGCCAGTACTAAATACAACCTCTATATAAAATGGCAGTTACTATAATAAGCATCACCCACATTCATATTGTAAAATCCAGAGAACAACGTTTCGTCACGTGCTTTCCTTATCATCCTATGATCTGTCAAATGGGAGATACAGCAATTGGAATAACATGGTACTGAAATTGACACCTTCGACTAGGATTGGCTAGTTTGCAATAAACTATAGACTTTGTATTTTGACATCACAAACATCTAATCTGAACCAAAGCTGCATTCAACATACCATGTGACACAAAAAAATCAATATTTAAGAATTTTTTTCTTATTTACTTTTAAATTAACTAATGTATAATCCTACAATCTGATACCAAACTTATTGACATACATTCATAAAATAGTAGTTCAATAAAACTTTGAACGTCTACAATTCTAAAAACGTGGTGACATGCCCTTGACCATAGGAAGACCTGTTAAGATAGGGTTAAAGGTTCACTAATTTGTAGAGTAATAGTAACACTAAAAATAATTGAGTAAATTTCAAAAAATAATTTAATTCCTTTCAATCTGTTAGTAAACTGACACTGTTCTCACTATATCAGTATAGGCATTTCAGCGATGTGACCAATGATGCTGTTACCATTCACAATAGCTATAAAGCCACAATTCAGTTTTCAGGTTCATAATAGCCGAAAAATTATAATTTTGTGAACAAAGTTACTCAAATTTTGTAAAACTAACATTTAGTTGATCTATAGTTACAAAGAATCTGTACGGGAGTATTTTCCTTAGCACTGCATCACAGCTACATTTGATAGTTAAGGGTAAGTACACTTATTTCCTAACAGTTCCATCCACCTTTGCTACCCACTCTCATTTTCTCTGGCTTATTCAGACCTCTTATGGATTCTTTTATTATGTTAACAATTAAAAATAAGAAGTTAAATTTTAATCAATTGTGGGCTTTCTGCACGATGTATACCATATTTAAGTATACAACATTATTATAACTAGGCCATTTATTTATTGAGTACTTGCTTAGAACCCTCTCCCAAATAATTCTTAGTCATAATAAATAAGAAATGTTCACAAACTGCTGCTGAAAATAAGGTTGGCATTTAAAGTTTTACGTTCGACTGTATCCAAATGCCCTCTATATAGCAAGGTGCTTTAATATAAAAAATGAGTCACACAAAGCTGGGTTCATATTGACCACACTAAATTTCTGAATTTCAAGGCCCCATATTTTGTTTGGTGTATGTAGGACACGGGTATTCGCAAGTTACACATTGTCATGACATGGAGAATTGTCAATAGGTCTCGGGGTGTATTAACTGTGCCCTTTTTCCTTTATTATTGGTCACAAAGTTTCAAAGTACTTCTCTTCAGAATTTGAACTACTAAAGATTACATATTTATTTTCTGTGTTTATTTTACTGTCAACGACTGAAATATAAATCTACTGAAAATGAAACAACAAATCATCGCTTGTGTTATTAGACTGTTTACATGACACCTTAAAACAATACTATCGAGAACAACAAAGAATGCCCACAGAAATAAGCCAACTTGACCTCTGCTCCAAGAACATGATGTGAAATTTATCAGCTTACGTATCTACAGTGTTTACAACGATAATTCCACCGAGTAAGAGGACTGCAATTTGAATCAGTGAAACCATTTATTACTGTACATGGTTCGGAGCTGATCCAATAAACATTGCAAGTATGTGAATACTGGATTTTTTTTTGGGATGTTTGGAATTTAGCGGTATACTGTACAGGCATTCAAAAATAACTACCCACTATATCAAGTGTCCGTATAGAGAACTAGACTAAAGACACTGCCCTTAATCCAGAATATCGAGGTTCCCATTATTGCAAGATTTATTTTGGTTTCAAATAGTAGAAAACAAAAGTGAAAAGGTCTGCCCTTAACAGTGCATTGCCCATTTTTTCAAGATGCCCATTAATCAAGGTTCTACTGTACTGTTAAACACCTTGTAGAATAAGTAAATCTTGCCCAAGACAAGTTAAAATTTTATACAACTTTTGCTGCAGTATGAGTAGGCCTAAAAAAAATATATATATTCTATTGCACAGTTTTTCAACAAAATAACCTAATGCATGACATCATTAAGCCTACAATATTTTATGTATCAATATTGAATTTCAGGTAGCACAGTAAAGAGCTGTGTTATGAAATGGTTTTGATTTTTCATAAAAATAAAAGAGGAGGTGTATACTAATATGTATATTTCTAAGTAGGTAAGATAATTTTCTTAGTTTTACATCACATGTATAAACTGAAAAGAGTACACTATTAAATACCATGTAGCGAGTCCAGAATATTGTTGAAATAGCTCTGATTGATAGACACTCCAAACAAAATATTCCTTGCTTTGTTTATGTCCCATAGTTACCATGATAAGACCATGCTGTGCTGTGTGTTGATAGTTAAAATTTTAGTTTCTGTTGGAAAAATGTTTTATGATATATTCAGGAACTACATATTTACTCATACTTTAACACAGTGGTTAGATACCTGGCAGCCCAAAAATTTGAATATTGTTGAGCTAAAATCACCTCTCACTTGATTTAGCAGTGAACAAACTTAAGACATTTTGAATGGTTGGCCAAAGGGCAACAATTAACCTGACTTAATTGTCCTGCATAAAAAAAGATTGTCCTTCCATAAGTAAAAAACAATAATTCACATTAATGTCAGTATACATGCACACACACAGAAAAAACAAACAAACCATGATTAAAAGGCTATATAAAATGTCTGATCAACATCAAGTACATTTATTAAGATGAACACTGTGACATCATTGTGTATTCACTCACGTCTCAAATAACTTGGGCCTACACCTTTGAAATACTGTAAAATGCTCATAAACATTCCTTGAAAAAGAAAACATTGATACAAATGTTATATTTTGACAATTTGAATAATTACCATAACCAAGCTAGCTCAGATACAGTGAGATACAGTAGCAGAATCACTACCAGAACCCACCAAAAATGCTACAGTGAAAATAATGCAGTAACTTGCTGAAAGTTGTGTACAAGTGTTCAGAAAATTTACTTCCCTACTATTGTAAGTGATACATCAACATAGATACATTATGCCTTCCATACATAGTGAACAAGGCTTTGTTTACATCTGAAAAGACTGCAAGAAATTGTTTTTTTGCTCCTTTATATTTTCATGCATGTTGCATATACTCCTATCACAATATTCTTATAAGGCAGGGACTAATGCAAGGCTTTCGTTAGTCAATACCGTTAAATGTACATATCTGCCACATTAGCAATTATTTTATGCCAAAAAAAACACAACTTTAGTTTAGATTAGTTAAACTATCACATACATCATGTGACATTTTGAATAGAGATGTTACTAATGTGGAGATTTCTTTTCTGGTGTGCACATTTCTAGGGGATTTCCATGCACTATTACAGGTGCCTTGGAAGACAGGCTGTGAATTAAGCCTAGTACAGTGTTTACAGCTAGAGGTAGTGTTATTCTGGAAGTTTCTTTGCCAGTCTGTACTCGTGCTGTGCAGCACATGCCTCAGGAGTATAAAACAAACGGTGTGGGTATGTTCAGAAGTTGAACCGAGACAGCAGACATGTTCAATAGAAACATGAAAATAACACATGAATTATCACTTTGTTAACAATATTCTCACACTGTTGAAATGCTTGCATAATGTAGCATGTGTAGCTTTGAAATCTGAAATAAATTGGTTGTTCAAAGGACAACCTTAGTCACTAAATTTTACAGCATTTGGTTGTCTGACAGAATTCTTGGTTGTATTGAACAACCATTAAATTTGTTCACTGTTTAGAAGTTAGAAAATGAGTAATAGTAAATTACAAGACTGGTTTGTCCTCAAGTTCAATGAAACAATCTGCAAACTTCTGCTATAGAAAATAAATATTGATCCTCATTCTTGTTTAGTATTGATCAACATGTGTATTTGCTACAAGCTGTCAGGAATGATCCTCAAAATACTAGATGCCTAGCAGTACATAATTTCATAATCATGAATATTATTTAGTAACAGTTTAAGTATGCATGTATATATGACTTACAAGTTATAACAAATATAATTGTAACCCAAGCTAGTAGGCTTCAGCGCACTCTTAATAACAAAAGTATAAATATAGGATTAAAAAATTTAGACATGTACACTTTGCTTTTCTACTGTTACTATTATAATTATAAAAAACTTTGTTATTGTTGATATCAATGATGACAATAATGTTACAACGTCAGGCTTAGGTAATTCGTAAGAAACGCCAAACTTTCCCGAAGGACAATCATTTTACTTTAAGAAACAAAACGAGATTTAGAAATACAATATCAATATAGTTACCTGACTTCTTATATGGTTTTGAGGATGCTCTAATTGAGAAGTCTGAGTTTGCGAAGGAAGAGTAAAGTCAGTAAAATCAAATTCTGAGCCCTGTGTATCAGCGCCAAGAAGTTCTGTTACTTCTTCGGTGTCAAGGAAAGTCAAAGTTTGAGAGCTAGGTCCATAAGCGTCGACACTCATATTTTATTTCTAAACTCATAAAAAAAAAGAAAATTAAAATTTATACAGCTATCCAGCACAACTCTGGATGATATTCAGATACTCCAGTCACTAACCTCACGACAACAAACAATTCTGAATAGTTTATTATAACTTATAAAACATATAATATTAAACCACAACCATACGCCATTCTTCCTTCTCACACACATTGGCATTTATCCAATCATTATGACGTCAAGGATAACATAGTAAAGAGCTAATATAATAATTTAAAATAAATTAAGTCATAAATAACAATTGAAATATATTCATAAATATTTTGAATAATTATTACTAAAACCGATTTTCAGCTATTAATAATCATCAAGTGTCATGATTATGATTTGTGTGTGATATTTATTTATAATAATGTATTTATATTTTGGATTTATTATTAAGCTTACTAGTAGTGCCAATTAAATAATATAATAAACGTTGTTAAAGATAAATATCATAAATTAACTCTTAAATATAATTTAGTTAAAATTTAAGAATAATTGAAGTCTGCCATTATTTATAATATAAATGGTAGTATACATTTTTGAAATAATAGACGTTCTGAATAATGTGACCAGACGTCCCGATTTCGGTAGGACAGTCCCGTTTTAAGCTGCCTATCTCGCTGTCCCACAGAAAAATTGGGGGACGCAAAATATCGCGCTTTCGGAGATAATAAACTTAAGGGTCTCACATTATCAAAATTAATATCGGTAAGCTGTACCGTACTATGACTGCACATCATATTTGTGGGCACTGAATATTTCTCTTTTATTATGGATCCCCCAAATCCAAATAAAAAAATGTAAAACTCTGCTAATCGGTAAATGACCACGCCTAGAAGACTCTGAACAGAAGTCTCCACCAAAATGTGGACCTATACATTGCTTCCTGATCCTGCATTCACTGTCCAATAAATCTTTAGGGCAAATATCTCCCTTTTTTTATTCAGAAGGTATTAGAAAGGCTTGCTGGCTCTCCAAAGTCAGTCGAGGAGCTACATTCAGGGGATATCTTGGTGGCAACATCAACACCAAAACACAATGAACTCCTCCTGAATTCAAAGACCATTGTGGATATACCCATTGAGGTTACTTCCCACGCTTCTTTGAATTTCTCACGAGGAGTTATTGTCGAGAGGGACTTGAAGAACATCTCCGAGTCAGAGAACCTTGCTGGTTTCTCCAGCCAAGGAGTTTCAGCAGTTCGAAGGATCTCCACTCGTCAAGATGGAATTATGGTGCCGACCTTTTTCCTCATTTTGATGTTTTCATCACCACGTCCACCTGCCGCTGTTAAGGCAGGTTATTTGAACTGTAAGGTACGGCTGTATATTCCTAACACTCTCCCATGTTTTCAGTGCCAGTGGTTCGGTCATTCCAAGACATCTTGTCGTGGTTCTGTGATGTGTGCTCATTGTGGTGGCAAGGGCCATGACGCTTGCGAGTGCGAATTTGACCCCCACTGCGCTAATTGTAGTGGTTCCCACCTCTCTTACTTTAGGTCTTGCCCTAAGTGGGTGGAGGAGAAAAAGGTACAGCGTTTGAAGACTGTTAATAACATTTCTTACCCTGAGGCTCGAAAGCTATTGTTCCCTACTCCATCTCGGACATATGTCACTGCACTACTCTCCATTGCTACAGTGGGGGTGCAGACAGACCTTTCCATGCCTCCATCTGAGTCTTTTTCACGCCATGTGAGGGGTCTTCTGCCCTCCATGGATAATAGAGTTGACTGGTCTATGTCTACTCCAATCTCGGGTCCTTCTTTGGCCCCTAAATGCAGGACGATCATTCGATCACGTCATCAGTCATTGGATTCTCACTCTGATGACAAAGATATGCCCATTCTATCAAGGGCAGGATCCATGGAGGTCGATCGAACTTCATCTAGTAAGGAAAAATGGTGTGATCATAAACCGAAGGGTTCACCACCCTGTTCTCCTCCACTTACATAAAAATGTTCACTTTGATACAGTGGAACTGTCGAGGTTTTCGTTCTAATCTCAATGGCATTAAGGCCTTGATCGACCCCTATCATCCCGTGTGTCTCTCCTTACAGGAAACATTTCTGAAACCTGCCGATACAGTCACCTTTTGGCACTTTTCTTTGTACCAGAATGACAAGTTGGGTGATGGATGGGTGCATGGAGGGGTAGCTTTGCTGGTCGATCAGCATGTGCCCTCCTTATCTGTGTCCCTCGATACACCTTTGGAGGCTGTAGCCATCCATGTTACCTTGGGTCGTACCATCACTATTTGCTCTCTCTACCTGTTTCCTGGAGAGACTTATGATCAATTGGACCTTGATGCTCTCGTTGACCAGTTGTCATCTCCCTTTTTACTTATGGGAGACTTTAATGGACATAACCCCCTCTGGGGTGGTGCTGATATTGATGGGAGGGGTCGTTCTGTAGAGCATATGCTCTCAGATCACAACCTTTCTCTCTTCAATACTGGAACATATACTTATTTTCATGCACCTAGTCAGTCTTTTACTGCCATTGATCACTCGATTTGCTTCACTTTTCTTGGATGGTCGACAGTGACCCACGGGGCAGTGATCATTTTCCTATCATTATGAGGGAGATTGGCCATGGTCAATGCCACCCGACCCGAGTGCCACAGTAGTAGTTGGATCAGGCTGACTGGCCATCTTTCACCTCTCTCTCCGAACTTGATCCTGCCTTTGTCTGTCTGCCATCAATAGGCGACTGTGTGGTTGTAGTGACTGACTTTATCGTCCAGGTAGCTGCTCATTTTATTCCTAAGACCTCGACACGTTTTCCACGGTATCCTCGTCCATGGTGGAGTCCTGCCTGCCAGGAGGCACAGAAGGCTCAAATCCGAGCCTGGGATACCTTCTGACAGTATCCATCTCTTTCTAACTGCATTGTTTATCAGCAGGCCCGTGCCCATGATTGGCAGGTTCGACATCAAAGCCAAAAGGAGTCTTGGTTTAAGTTCACTACTAGCATCTCTTCTACCACCAGTTCCAAAACTGTATGGGACAAGATTCGGAAAGTCACTAGGAGGTTTGCTTACCATCCCTTTTCCGTCTTACTCTCCAATGGCCAGGAAGTTGCTGATGTCCAGAGCATTGCTGATGCTCTCGGCCACATCTTTT